ACCGCGCTGGACGGCTGCCGGCTGCCGCCCGGGCTCCCGCGCGGCTCTCAGACCTCCCAGCCTCTAACTGGGACCTTCCTCCTTCTCGGCAGGTAATCGGACTTTTCTCTCCATCTTGAAAGAACAACAGCCCTACCGGCTAGGGCCCTAGCCGGTTCGACTCAGTGGATAGAGCGCCGGCCTGCGGACTGACGGCTCCCAGGTCTAGGGTACATGCCCGGGTTGCGGGCTCGATCCCCAGTAGGGGGCGTGCAGGAGGCAGCCGAAAGATGGTTATCATCATTGATGTTTTTACATCTCTCCCCCTCTCCCTTCCTCTCTGAAATCAATTTTAAAAAAGAACAAAATCCCTGTGCCCACTTCTAGTCTCCCTCCCCGCCCCCCACGGGTTCACAGGTCCAAAGCCTCACCACCTTTTCCCTTTCCTCCACTCCCCACCTCATGCTTGGGTTCACCACGCTTAACGGCCTTTGCTCCACCTCAACACTCCAGTTCACCCCTTACCCCACCGGAATTGTTCCGGCAAAAGACGCGGGAGGAAAGAAAGCTGGAGGAGGCTGAATCCCTGCAACAGACCCTAGCAGCCACTTACTGCCTTTGCGCCTGGAAGTGTCTGGTGAATGTCTGATGAAATTTGCGGGACCCTTTTCGCAAGCCAGGCGCGTGTTGGGCTCCTTCTTGTGAGTCATCTCAGTTATGATTTTATTGTATTTCACTATGACTTAGGAGTCACAAGCATGACTTTTTTTTTAAGTACACAAAACAGTGGCGTGCAAAATAGTGTTTCTGTGTGTAACAGTGTGTACTTCATTGTGGCCTGCTTTGTCCCCCGAAGAATTTAAGACAGAGATACATAAAATACAAGGTGGTGTAAAGAATGAGAAAAATGAATCGAACCAAGTAAGTCAGGAAAGTGAGTAGAAAGGAACGCCAGAAGGATGGACAGCCTTGGTGTAGGAGTGTCCCAAATCCAGCTCTGGGCCTGGGCAGGCAGCAGGAGAGAAGCCCTGCGGGAGGGGAGCTCTGAGGTAGCAACTGCAGGGAACTATTTCCTAGAAACAGCGGCAGGAGGGGTGCTATGCTTTCCTGGACAGCACTCAGCAAAGCACCGCACTTACCATGTCCACGCAATACAATGACCTCCGTGCTTACAAAGGGATTTCATATACAGTTTCCTCCTTTTTCTTTTGTACTCCTTATTTGGAGAGTTTACAGATGTCCCCCTTTTCCCCCCCATTGACTCCTTCCACCCGGTTCCCACCCCACCCCAGGCCTTCACCACCCTATTGTCTATGTCCATACGAGAAGGCTAAAAGGCTAATTCCATGTAACCCCGATGTTTGGGGGGCTAGCCATCTGAATCTGTGCCAGTAACCTAATGTACATTCTTGATAACCTATCATTAAATAACAGTACACAACCCCCAGAGGGGGTTATCAGCGCTGGCGCCAGGACAGGCCCTTAGATATGGCCTCAACGCCCCCATCCCAACCCACGGGGCTTTTTGCAAAGCCCACGAGAGGTCCGAAAGTCCCCATCCATATTTGGGAGACAAAAGAAACCAAAGGGTAAGAAGGGCTTCCACCATATTGGTTTGCTTAGACCAGCGGTTCTCAACCTGTGGGTCGCGACCCCTTTGGTGGTTGAACGACCCTTTCACAGGGGTCGCCTAAGACCATCCTGCATATCAGATATTTACATTACGATTCATAACAGTAGCAACATTACAGTTATGAAGTAGCAATGAAAATAATTTTATGTTTGGGTCACAACATGAGGAACTGTATTTAAAGGGCCAGGAGGTTGAGAACCACCGGGACTCTGGAGGCAACTCCTCTGAGACCGTCGGTGTAATAAAACTGTGTAACTCCATTTCTCTAAGCATCGCTTGGGTTTCTTTGGTCTTCTACAACACATAGGTAATGTATATATACATATAAGTTCTTTGGTTAATCTCTTCCGTCCTCCCCTGCCCCCCTTCCCTCTGAGATTCATCAGTCTGTTCTCTGTTTCCATGCCTCTGGTTCTATTTTATTCATTAGTTTATTTTGTTTATTAGATTCCTTGCTCATTTATTTTGATTTTTAGATTCAATTTTTGACATATATGTATTTATTGCCATTTGATATTAGATATTTCTCCTCCTCCTCCTCCTCCTCCTCCTCCCCCTCTTTCCTTCTTCTTCCTCCTTGAATATCCTTTAATATTTCATGTAATACAGGCTTCTTGTCTATGAAACTCTTTATCTAACCTTCAATTCTAAATAGCATTTCTGGGTGAGTAATCTTGGTTGTAGGTCCTTGCTATTCATCACTTTGAATATTTCTTGCCACCCCCCTCTGGCCTGCAAAGTTGCTGTTGAGAAATCAGCTGACAGTCCTATGGGCACTCCCTTATAGGTAACTAACTGCTTTTCTCTTGCTGCCTGTAAGATTCTTTGTCTTTAACCTTTGGCATTTTAATTATGATGTGTCTTGGTGTGGGGCTCTTTGAGTTCCTCTTGTTTGGGACTCTGTGCTTCCTGGACTTGTAAGTCTATTTCTTTCACCAGGTAGGGGAAGTTTTCTGTCATTATTTCTTCAAATAGGTTTTCAATATCTGGCTCTCTCTTCTCCTTCTGGAACCCCCATAATGCGGATGTTGGTATGCTTGAAGTTGTCCCTGAGGCTCTTTAAACTGTCTTTATTTTTTTTTTCTTTTTGCTCTTCTGATCGGATGTTTTTTTGCTTCCTCATATTCCAAATCATTGATTTGATTCTCAGAATCCTCTACTCTACTGTTGAATCCCTGTAAATTATTTTTTTTAAAAAAATTGTTCTTTATTTCAGTTAGTATATGCTTAATTTCTGACTGGTCCTTTTTCATGTCTTTGACATTCTCACTGAGTTCCTTGAAAGTCTCATGAAGGTCCTAGAATAACCTTATAACCATGGTATTGAACTCTGTATCCAGTAGTTTGCTTGCTTCCGTTTCTTTATTTGTGACATGTTTCTTTGTCTCCACATTTTGGCTGCTTCCCTATGTTTGTTCCCATGTATTAGGTAGAGCTGCTATATCTCCTGGAATTGGTAGAGTGGCCTGTGTAGTAGGTGTCCCATAGGGCCAGTGGCTCAGCCTCTCTAGTCCCCTGAGTTGGGCCCTCTAGGTGGGCCCCTGTATGGGCTGTGTGAACAGTCTTGTAGTTGAGCCTTCATTGTTATTGGCATCTCTGGGAGGAGTTGATTTCTAGGCCAATTGGCCGTGAGGACCAGCTAAAGTGGGAGAGCTGCTGTGCAGGAGGCGAGGCCCAGCTGTGAAGCAAGGCAGATTGGTGCTAGTACCGGTGCGAGTACCGGCATTTACCTACACCACCATCCCGGTTGTCTCCACAATATCCTCCTTAATTCAACCCTCCTAATAACACTGTGAGCTGTTTAAAAGATGTGAAGACCCAGCTTATGAAAGATTTCATGACTTGTTCAAACTTTTGTGGCCTACAGTGGAGCTAGGACTTGTCCCCAGAGCTGTGTCCTTAAGGCCAGTCAGTGCTGGCTCCACTGTACACCCTGCCTCACCAGCTTTATCAAAATGGGAAAACTCTTGTGGCTTTGAAGTGGGGATGAGGTTATCTTCTGCCTTACAGAAGTGTTGTGACCTGTGATTTCAGTTCCTAGGAGAGTTCTCTGTGATTGTGAGTGCCTCTGCCTGCTCTGAGGGTGAGGAGAAGGGAAAGGAAAGGAAGGGAAAGTTAGCTAAGTGAGGATTTGCTAACACCAGTTCCCTCAGGGCAGCTGGAGTCCCTGGGTGTCAAGATGCAGAACCAAGCAGCCTCTGTGCTACTGCCCTGAGTGGTAGAGAAGAAATGGTCCCTCAAGACTACCTGGAGCCCTGAAACATGGAACAGACTGATGAATCTCAGAGGGAAGGGGGTGAGTAGGTGGGAAGAGATTAACCAAAGAACCCATGGACATAGACAATAGTGTGGTGAAGGCCTGGGTCGGGGGAGAGGGTGGGCTAA